TATCTCCATACGCTTCATTTAAATATACTCTTAAAATTCAGTTTCTTTCACAATGTTTCCGATGGTATTTCAAACAATGAGGAAACTCATCCGCAAAAACGTTTGTTAAAATCTAGATGAATATTTACGCAAGGAATGACAATATTGAAAACATTTCAGCGAATATAATATTGGACCAATATATTATTGTTCTGTGAGATGATAAGATATAATTATGATCATAATAACAGATATTCTGAAAAATAATGTACTATATAAGATATAATTATGATCATAATAACAGATATTCTGAAAAATAATGTACTATCTAATTCTTTAAAAAGGTGAACCGGGTTGCATACAAACTTTGAAGATATATATAATTAAGGTCGGGTCTCTGTTTTATGCCTTTACATGTAGACACGTACACATAAAATACACATAGAAACACTTACCCAAATGCACACAGTAAAGATAAATAATAAAAACTACAACTTGTTATGCTACATCCAAATAAAAATTCAAGTAACAGGATTTTTTTCTTTTCTTTATGTTAAACAAAATAAACGATATTCTGTTCATCCTATTAAGTCAGCTGTAAAGAGCACACACATATGAAAGAAAAATCACAAGAAAAAAAAACATTGTTAATCTTCTTTTAACTTTAAATGTTTTTACTGAATGCATTATTGAACATACATGTACAAATCAAACTTACCTTCTGGTCAAACTTAGAGATGAAGGCATTTCTTTACGTGCATTGTTAACCAAGCCCGTGTCTTTTTAAGGGACTTTCCATTTTACTGAATCGTGAAAGACAGAACATATTCCTTACTCCAAACAACGTTAACTTCCGTTTGAACTCTGTCTTCTCCAATTATGCTTTTGGTCACACATCTTAAGTTTCCATCCTCAGCTAAGGTCATGTTGCTCACATGTAGATTGTTACCCTCTTCAACAACACGGTTATTTCTTATCAGTCTCTTAAATAAACTCATATCTAGCATTTAAAGATGACAATTTATTTTTTCTTAATTTCTTTTTCATATCAAATAGTTTCAACATTTATTTGACATTTTGGTAGATTTTCTTTAGAGTAATAAGGGACATAGATATGCCGGTGTGTGTATTTCTTTAGAAATAACTTTTAACGATCTCTACCAAATGCACGATTTATATTTTTGGCAAATATTACAATGTTAAAACCTTCAATTAACGATATGACTGACTGTACAAAAGTTACTGTGTAATAAATATGTGGGAGACAGAGTAATGTATTTTTACAAGAAGTACTAACATTCACAGTTGACGGTTTACTTGACATTTAAACCTGCATCATGTATGGAGGTATGGAATTGATAGTAGATTAGAATACCTTTCTAGTGGTTTTTCTAGTGCCTGTTGTTAGGGGCACTAGCATGCAAAATTCGGTAATTGATGGTTGGGTGGTTGTCGTTTTCTGATTTACGCTTTGAGAAAACCAGTTATTGTTTTTTTTTTTCTTTTCCTGCTTTTTTTTTTTATTATGTCAATTTTTTTATCATTGTTGTTATAAAAAATCTTGTAATACAATATTTAAATAAGTTATTTTATTATTCAAAAGATGAAGATCATTTTGAATGCTTGAACTCAGCATTTAAAATTGAGAAAAAAAACCGAAAGCTTTAAGAAATTTGTTCTTTTTATTGTCTTTTCTTTAATCAATTATTTTATTTCGGATGGGATAGGAATTCACTAAAAAAGAAAAGAAATCTTGGGGGAGAGGGGTTACTATGTTCTATGAAACTACACGTTCTTAGTTAGATTTGAATACATGTGTTATAATAAGAATATCAGGAGAACAAATTGCATATCAGTTTTATCATATACTGATGTGTTTGATCGTTACTAGGTTTGTTGAGATTTATACTTCTATTGCAAATGCCATCAATTTATTGATAGTAAGTGCGCGGATTTGCAAAAAAAAAAAAATAATAATAAAAAAAAAATCAGGAAGGAATGATATAACAATACTTCTCATCATTAGCAGACTTTGTCATTGCACTGAATATCGAGGGGAGGGGGGTCTCGAACCAATATGATCATAGGTAAAGGTTTAAGTGAAGGACAACCCTTTAAACAAGCAGAGTGATAAATCGAAAGTGGGCTATGAAATGACTAAATCCTCCTCCTGCAAATGAATGTATCATCATTCCTTAAAGTAGATATTTGTTATAACTATGAATTTATATAAATGATGCATACTGTGAACACGGTTCACCTTTTTTATACTATAAAGCTTTTTTTAAAGGTGAGTTTTTCGCATTTTTGTATGGCTCTACACTTTTCGAACCTCTAAAACAGTTTTAGAAAGGTGTGAAGGCCTTTTCTTGCACTGTTTATAAGACTTAAAAATTTTTCTCTACTGATTCTTATATGTATTACTCTTGGTTTTAAACATTAGGTAATTTCTTATTCAACAAATTCTATTGTCATTCTTTCAATGCATCGATTTTAGTGCTTGCTAAATTATATTCATGTTACTTGTTACTTACTTGGAGATAAATGATTACCTATTTCTTTGTTAGGATCTTAAAAATATTTTATAGATTGATTGCAGCACGTTTGTAAGAGGAAAATGAGGTTGTAATAAGAATGAAAAATATATTTTTGTGCATGTATGAAAATTGATATAGTTAGTTTTTTTCCCCGGAAGTTTAAATAAGTGGATAGAATACGCTGATGTGATATCCTTGAATTTATTTAAAAGCAAAAATTATTTTATGAATATCAAAACGTATTAACATTTTGTCGTATTTTCTCTGTGTTTCATTTTCGAATCGATTAAAAAGCGGTAAATAAGCAAAATGCTTTATTTAATATTTATTAAATTATATTAATCCCATACCCGTTTATTTATTTTAGATGAAAATATTTTTAATACAAACTAATGGTGCATAAAGAAACATGCATGTTATTTTCCGTAATCTTCGTCTTTGAGGTCGTACAGGTGCAATGTACATTGATATCAAATTACGCTTTTAAATTTTTTGATAACACAATGTTATGTGATGAATGTTGAAAAAAAGTCATATTACATCACATTATATTTTTCCTCCATCGTCTTTTTAAATTTGAACACGTCAAATCTGCTAAATAAGAAAGAACAAACCTTTTTTAAAGCTATCTACTTTCACGAATCATATCACTTCACTTATTTAAGACTCTGAATTGCAATGTAAAGGGCGATTGATAATGGACATTGAAAAAAAGGAAAACGTTTAAAATACGACTGCACAGTTCAATAGACACTGATGATAATGTTAATCCAAGCACTGCATTGCAAATAGAGAGCACAAATTTAAACCTGCCATTCAGGTAAATAATGTGCACAGTCAATATCAAAAGATATATAAAAATCCTACCTGTTTGAAGAACTTTCTTGAGAGGAAAAATATTATTAACAGTAAGTACATTCTTATGTTTCGTCCTTTGAAGAAAAATTTAAATATTGGTTTTGGGTTTGATTATTATAGATGCATTATTTTACACAAGTATTCTTTTTCTCGATTCAAAATAAAAAAAATGTAATTTTTTTCATTTCTCGCAAAATTACACGATAATACATTTGGGAATCTACAGTAAATGATTGAAGAAATTCAAAGTCGTCTTAAGGGCTTTGGTAGAATTTGGCCCTTTCTTGGATGTAATAAACAGAACAATTGTAAAATTTTAATAGTTAGTAGTACTTTAAGAACTTAAAACGATGCTTGCTTTAAAACCACTTTCGATTCAAAGTTATCATGGAAGCCACTAGAGGTTGCAGAAGTAGGACATTTTCCCGAATTTCCAATTCTGATAGATTTTATTTATATTTGAGACACTTTTGTCTTTTGATAACAAAAAAGCTCAAGCTTGTCTACCTGAGATTTACACCTATAAATTACATCTGATGCTAGTTAATAAAATATATAGATTTAATAGATTAGCAATCTTGTGCTCAATTTTTTACAAAACAAAATGTGCTGTAAAATTGAAGAAGTGCAGAAAAATGAGAAAATTCTAAAATTCTCTGGCCTCTCTGTGACCTGTGTGTATTTTATAAATTAGAACAAATAAACATTATGTGGCAGGGATTACAACAAATTTTAATAGATAAACTTTTGAATCTTTCTGAAAGACACCCCAAATCAGGGGCCATAAAGGGGTGTTACAATTAAACATCCAACAGATAAATTATATGGTAATCAATTTGTGAAATTTAAGCAGAATGACACACTGTACGTGGAATTTTAGTTAACGTGACAATAACATTAAATGTCTGACCTTGCCTAAACAGTTTTGGGATTTAAATATACTAGAGAAGGACATCCGCCATTAATCTACCGTGAATATTTTTGACATAGATCTCTCTATACTTTGTCATTTTATTTAGAAAAGCTAAATGGCAAAAATCAGCATTTATTGCTAATTTTTTCTCATTTTGATCTTCCTCTTAAAATTCACCTGGCTTGGTATATATTTCTTAAGTTTATATCACACTTTTAGCACCAAGGTTACATATTCTGAAATTTGTTTTCACCCGTAAACCATTACTAAATGTGATTTGTCTATATTTTGTATAATTGAAATATTACTAATATTTTCCAAGTCTCTTTCATTTTCCAGTTCCTCGGAGAAAACATTTTAAAGCATCATAAAAACGCGTTATATGCTTCTATGATCTGAAACATTTCTTCGGAGAAACTTGAAATTTAATACATGCAATATTTAATTTTTTTTTTTTTAAATGTAAAAGTTGCTAAATATGTAAAACTTACGCAATATCTGAAAAACCTAGATACCAAATTAAAATTCGCCAAAAAAATCAAGCATTGCAAATAATTTGAAGTAAGTTTTTAAAAAATTGCAAATTAATATTCTTTTTTTTTTCGTACAGAACATTCAATTTTGAAATGATAAAACAAAAAAAAAAATCTAAATAATTCGGCGATTAACATTTTCCGTTATATAACAACAACCCCTTTAACATTAACCATGGAGTTTGACCCACTTAAATAAAAACTTGAACCATGGTCACATATGGTGCTAGGGCTTCATATTTCACATTTTTATTTCTTGTTGGAAATCCTTACTGTGGGCACAAACATATAAATATTTGATTTGCTTTGACAACTATAAGTTGTCATGCTGAAGCATTAGTGTTTTTCAAACACTAATTGTTTTATCTTGCTCTGCGTTGTTTCAACACTTCTCGACAAATCATCAATATCACTTTTTAAATATCCTTCAAGATAACTTCGAATAATGTTTAAAAATCTTTCTTCGTATGTTTTACGTAATATTTGCTTTATTTTTGGCTTTGATAACTTATCAATTCTAGATTTGTAAGCATTCTTCAGTACTGGTTCGTAGTCATCAAAGACGCCAATGACTAATCCTGTAACTACAAGACCAGTTACAACCCCTGCCGCTGCCAATGTCTGTGTAGCCCTAGGATTTACAGACATATACATCATTGCCACGCTTCCAGCGACGGAGGTACCACTCGTGCCAATCAATGACAGAAGGACAGAACCGAGTTTGTCTTCAACGTCAAATGGAGATTTAAATCCTTTCATACTGTCCTTAATGTTGAGCAAGGGCTTGTGAATTTCCATGAAATTTTCTGTAAGTGTTTGTAATATATGGCTTGTAAACATCCTTGGAATGTTTTCTTGTTGCCACGAAAGAGTCGCTTTTTCTATGCGACTATCAAGTTCTCTTCCAATTGTAAAGCGCGTGTACATCTCAATATCTTGGAGAACTCTCGACTTGAACTCTGCACTGTGTATATATTGATAAAGAGCATCTGTTGTTTCTTCCACTTGTGTGAAGACTTGAAAGTGCCTACAAAGGAAAATTTCATTGGAAATGAGCATGTATTATCCTTTCACTTGATGTAAACAATAAAACTTGTTCAACAAATGATTATTTATTACATGTATGAGTTGAAAAATGTAATGCATAAAAGAAATGATTGACGTGCACATTCTGATGAATAGCAAATTATAACAGTATTGTTATTTTCTTTCTTTATTTCCCTTTTTATTTGGGGGGGGGGGGGGGGGGTATACATTGATCATAATGATAATATTAACATGCCTCTTTTCTCTTATTTTTGACTACTTGTAAATCTCTGCAAAGCAGATCTTCTACTTGCGTTGTTTCTTCTGTGTTTTTCCTTGCATATCTTAGCTTGTGTGTAAGACTTAAATCAGAATCGTCAGTAGAGGATTTCATTGATCTACAATATACACCAGATAACATAAATGGAAGCAAAATTATTCAGATTTTTTAATACATGTATACAGACATCGGGGCACTTGTACATAAAATATATATTCAACAAGTACAAGAGATGTGCGACAGAAAGAACACTGAAACGATATTTGAGTATTTCTAGGAATTCTAATAATTTTTAGGACTAATTTTATTTGAAAGCAGTTGTTATCGTGATTTGAATTCGTTGAGTGTAGTGGGCACAGGTCGGTCAAAGGGGGCCTTATAAGCAGCATTGCGCTGTAAATTATATCCCATTTGGGATATTCCAAACAGGCTACCGTATATCAATTTTTTTCTTGATGATCACTATGTGGGTGAGTGATCCCAACCTGATTAACTGAAGCCAAATTTTTCAGTACGAGTTGATACGAAAAATAAATCTCATTGCATTAATGCAAATAATTCAAGCAAAATAAAGTCAGGAATGTTAAAATACATTTTTTTATTCCCACTGCGTGCATTAAAAATTTATCTTTTCAAAGTAAATTTTTTAGCAAACATATTTAAAAAAAATCATTATAACTAATTTTAAAACAATTTTTCAACCGATATATAGATTAATGTGTAATAGATCGTGGGCGACGTATCAAAACAACCTAGGCGGTTGATATCCTTGAACTGAAAATCAACACTGAATGTTAATTTCATATGGTGTTGAGGTTAAGAATTTCTCTGATTTAATTTTAACTCAATAAACTCGGCTCCCTTTATTAAAACAAAAAGTGTGAAAATGCATAGTGATATTATAAATTAAAATGATTATGTACCCAGTTGATATTTGTTTGATTGCTATTTAATGTCCGTCTCAAAAATTGTGTTGACTCATATGGAGATGCAACAATTTGCCGTTGGAGACCTAAACATCTTGGCCAAAACTCTGCACTCAGGGCCTATTAAATAGTGGGGGATCTTTTTCTTGCCAGAAACTCTTGCAACTCAAGAGCTCGGTTTATATGGTCTTATCTGAAGGACCGTTTTCTACGACCGAAAGAGAGGATTACTAGTACTACACAGGCAAAAGTGGCTCGCATGAACTTCATATGAAATTCGCACGAATATCGTGCGAATTCTTCGCATGAAAAGGAGACAAAAAGGACCACGCATGATATTCGCATGAAAATATCATGCGATTTTGACATGAAATTCGCACGAATATCATGCGAATAAAAATTCGCACGAAATTCATATGAATATTTTTGCTACTTTCTTTACAGATTTTCAAATGAATTTCATGCGAATTTCATGTGAATATCATAATATATTCATATCAAATCCATATGATGTACTCAGTATATATTTTTCCTAGTATATTGGACTTTCAATTCTTTTAATCCATTTGATGAAAAGTATTAGGAAATTCTAATACTTAGATCTGTATATGAATTTGTACAACTAATCATCAAGGTTTTACTGTTACCGATATTCAAAAAAATGCAATAAGTACAATCTCAAAATCTGATCCAGCAAATGACTTAATGAGCTTTATCTAAATCTTAATTTCAAACTGCTTAATTTGAACACATGCAGATTTTGAGGAAGCACCACTATGATTATCAAAGTTATTCTTTTGATGAACAAACAACTGGACACATTCTGTTTCTTAATCTTCTTTATTGAATGCTTCAATTCTTTTTAACATTCTCTACTCAAGGGCCACCCATCTGTCTGGAGACTGTTTCATCTGCAAGAGAAAATAATTGTAATGAATACTGGGTACCGGTAAATGAAATACAGTCATGAATTTTACAACTGCATGCATTTCCAAAGTCAATATTTCCCTATTTATCAAGATAACATAAAATATGAACAAATGTAGATACAATATAGCAATCTCATATCACCCCTAAGTTCAATTTGGTAAAAGGTTGAATTTATATTGCCTACATTGTAAATGATCTTTAAAAAATTAAAAATCATACATCATAAATTACAATTAATTCAAAATCATACATCATAAATCATAATTAAAAGTATAAATATAATGTTTCTTAAGTATAAAATTATTGACAAAAAAAGAAAACAATTTTCCTGCAAATGACTTTAAACTTAAAAAAAAAAACAATCTTCTGTCAGGACTATCAATTAAACCTTGAGATATTTGTCTTTGTTTCATTGACCTATATCTGATGATGCAATTTGTATCTGTTGCAAGGGAATTTAAAAGCAAAATTTACCTACCATTGCATCTATGTTCCTTCTGAACGCACGCCAGAAATCAGCTAGCATGGCTGTGGTAGCTGGATTTTTTCTGAACAATTTGTGTCTATCAGCGAAAGCTCTCTGTAAAGCAAAGAACAGAAATAAATCTAAAAATATTATTAAGACTAGTCATGAATTTTATATCTTCAAAGTTCAACTTTTTAAAGGAATAAGTTTGAATCTGTTTTATTATTTAAACGGTCATGGAAAAATTATGCACTAATTTTGCCTCTGTTATCAAAGATTGTTGTTTATATCGTTTTTGTACTGTATGTCCTGATCTTTCTGTCTATTTAACCTTTACACATTACTTATGAGTAGGTGGGGCTATGGCTTCCTAATCCACAGGTGTATTTCATGTAACAAGAACTTTTTCGGGGTACTATAAAATTTGACCTCTTGACCTTGATATTAGAGTTTGATCTACTTTTACAAAAAAATCCCTGAACTTTAACCTAGGCTATAATTTTGAACAGTTAGTGCTATCAATCTGATACTTCACATTATTTTGTAATCATTGTTTTTTTTTACCTTTAGGTCTTGACCTAAGAGTTTGATCCTTTTTTAAAAAATATAATCCAGGCCATAACTTTTTAACACTTAATACTAAAATTCACATATTTCACAGGTTTATTCCTTAGGACAAAACCTTCCTTCAGATGCTAACAATTTTGACCTTTTGACCTTGACCTTTAAGTTTGCCTTGCATTTCAGAAACTTCAGTCCTCACTTTAAGATGTCATACAGGCATATATAAAGGCGTAAACATAGGAAAAAATAATATATGTATGCATTAAGTTTATTTGCTGTGTACCTAGGAGCAGAAAAAGATGACTGTCAAAGAATTACCGGTACTGCATTTTTGATATGTCTACTATAACATCAGAACCTATTACTGGGTACCCAGGGGCAACGTAATGTACATATGTACAATTTTGGAAATGGAACTCTTTAATTTTCATTATATCTATACATGTACTTAGTTTGTTTCAGGCATTCTATCAAGAAGCACTTTTACCATGCAAAATTTGGTTGATAATGGTTCAGTCAGTAATGGATAATTTGTTACTGGAGACACACAACAACTGATGAAAAGAGAAGCAATAGGTCTAAAAACAAATAACAATAAATTGACACTTGCATTCCTCAAGCATGTTAAGTGTCCATATTAATGAAGTTAAATTTCAATCCTTACCAATGCGTAAGAGTCACTTTGAAGTTGGTCTTCTCCTCTGAATCGGATGGTGATAACCAGAAATTCCTGAGAAGTCAGGTATATATACCCCTGCAGTCGAGCTTTTATTGGCATTTACTCCACATTCTTCTCTTGTGTCTCTAGCTGAAATGTATCATATTATTGAGAATCTCACAAATTTAAGAACTTTTAATAAGCTGGTATTTTTACAATTGTTCTTTTTTTTTTATAAAATGCATTTAAAGTTTCGATCAACAATGCATGAAAATGAAAACTTTTACGACAAATTTTGACCAAAAACAAGATATGTTTGTGAAACACTGATGCCCCCGTATGACAACATAGCAAAGATTAAACTTTTCTTAAATGCAAATTTAATTATTATAATTAATAGGTACCAAAAGTAGGATATTCTCACTGGAAAGCAATTGTGAAATTTGATAGTATGAGGCCATTATTAAAGTTTTTTTTAATAAGTACAAAAATCTCCAAGGTCAAAGTCTAAAGGCTAAGTTACTTGGTATCCAATGAAAGATCTTGCCACATAGAACTAGGGCTAATTGTAACGGGAAACGTTACAGATGTTCCCCAAACGCTCCTCAACTCCCTTTTGATGCCTTAGTCCCTGTAAGCTTCATTAAATAAGACAAACTCTATGCACGTGCATGCATGTGCATGATGACCATACATTTTTGTAGAAGTCCCTTATGTCTATCTCCGTTCTATATTCCATCCTGTTTGGTTGATTACCAAGGGAGTCATGACAATATAAAGTTTAAGCCAATCAGATTACAGCGCACGTGCATGCGCGTGATTTTGTGAAAATTTTTATATATAATACTGTTGTATATCCTAATGCATGATTATGTTTAAAATTTCAAAGCATTTCGGCAAAAAACAAAAAAGATATTGAGATTTTTGTTTCAGCCAATCAGAGCAAAGCTCACGTGCATGCGCGTGCATGCATGTGCATGATAACCATATCTTTTTGTAAGAGTCTATAATGTCTATCTATGCTCTGAATCCCATCATGTTTGGTTGAAAATCAAGGACGTTATAGCCATTTAAAGTTTTAGCCAATCAGATGGCAGCGCACGTGCATGCGCGTGCTTTCGTGAAAATTGTTATATATCATACTGTAGTATATCTTACTGCATGACTATGTTTAAAATTTCAAAGCATTTCGGCAAAAAACAAGAAAGATATTGAGATTTTTGTTTCAGCCAATCAGAGCACAGCGCATGTCCATGCGCTTGAGTTCGTGCTAATTTGACCATGTCATATTATCTACACTACTAATATATTTTTATATAATGAGTTTTATAGTATTTCATCAAAAAATGTAAAAGTTAGGTCTATATAAAGTAAATCAGTCATTTCACTCATTGCACGCGCACGCACGTGCATGCGTATGCGCGCAAAATGACCTTCGTTCCGCACACCTACACTACACACCTATTAACCCTAAAAAGGTTTTAACTCAGTTGGGTGAACAGTTTTTGAGAACACTCGCGGACAAAAAAAGTACCGGAGAACAAAGAAGAAAAAAAAGAATAATAACTAGATGCGTTCTTGTTGCTGGGGCAACAAGCAGGTCTTCCGACCGACTTCTCTTTTGCAATCTTTGCTGTGTCATCCCATGAAATTGATTTCATAAAGTATTTTTTTCGTTTACGTTCATTTACAGTAGGTTCTCAACACAGATCATGATTGTTCCAGGTATTTCACAAAATATCTCCAAATCTAGCTGTTAAAAATCGACAAAATCTTCCAAACATGTTATAAAAGAGTGAAAAGTAATTTGCATATGAAAAAAGACAAAAACAAAGAAAAAATTTGGGGAACGCCCCGAGCGGAATTTGAACCCCCGACAGTAAGACAAATTTTGGCTCGGTCATATCTTTGCAATAAACGCACGCATGAAGAAAATGAAAACATATATACATATCTTTGAAGACGCTCTATAAACCCTGTAAATTCAAAAGAAAAATATTGAAAAACAAAAAAGTTGAAAAATTAGACTTTTTGAATTCACTTCCGTTTGCGACCGGAAGTCAAAACGACGAAAAATGAAGGTCGATCAACACATCTACAATCGATGTTATATCACCTCAGCAAGTTTCAGTTTCATATCTTTTGCCGTTCTCGAGAATTTTTTGCGACAAAATTCCATTTAAAAAATACAAATTCCCCCAAAAATCGCGAACGGAGAAAAATTTCAAAAAAGTGAGGGACACCCCTGGAGATATTCACAAGATGCATTATCCCTGAAAAAATCCTTAAAATTCGTCCACGCACAGCTGAGATATGACCTGTACTATGAAAAGTGGAATAATAATAATAATAAAAAACAGAAGGAAAACAATAAGGTCTTCCGAAGGAAGTCGGAAGACCTTAATAACTAGTGCTAATTGTAACGGGGACCGTTACAGATGTTCCCCAAACGCTCCCCATGTCCCTTATCGTGCCTTATTCCTCTAAGACCTTTTATAAATATGCTAAGTATCCCAAGATTTCATTTAAGAATATAAAAGTTACAATGATATCAAGCATATGTCATATTTTTAATATATCGATTCACATTTTATTTCTCTACTTATGTTAACCTCGGGCTCAAAGTTGGTTTTATTCCGACGACAAGGCAGGGTTAAAGTCGACTAAGGGTATCACGCCAATACCTAACCAATCAAAATGAACTTATTCAATAGTAGTTCCATACATGGAAAAGGGATTTTCCTTTCTGTTCAGAATTTTTTTAATATTTCCTCTCAGGCCATTTTGACAACTCTGATACCTGTGCCTGGTAAATTTTATATACTTTGTAAATAAATATATAAAGGTTTTTTGACCGGAACTATTCATTTTTTCCAATGCATAGGGGGCTACTCTCTGGGTTTTACAAGAGATGTTTAAAAAGACATTCGTGTCAGCTAATGTGACCTATATTGTTTAACACCTTCTTATTAATATTTTTTTCATGAATGCAAATATCTGATTATTTTACGAAGGAGCGTACATGTATATTGATTTTTAATATACCGAAAATTGCTATTTCTGGGGATTGCGTAATTCTAAAAAAAAAAATTCAAATAAATTTCAAAGGTAAATTAAACAAAGGATGCTTGGTATTAAAATATTATTTCAAATCAGTAGAATCGAATGCTATTAACGACATCTGAATAAATAGGCTATAAAAGGCTTATATGCCAACTTTGGTCATCTGCACTTTAATTTTAAACACGACAGGATTTGTAATTTTTTTTCTGTATAAATTAATAATTTCTATATACTTTGGAAACTCAAATGAAATATTTTAATACACTTTCCTCGAGCTCTTTTCTGCAGTTTTCCTGAAATTTTATGTGGGTCCGAGGTGTTATTTGAGTTTAACAGTGATTCTCTACGTTGCCATTAATTTGATTTGTTTGTGTGTGTGGGGGGGGGGGGGGTGGGTGGGGGGGAGGGGGGTATTTTTATTCTTAACCTATTTAACGTTGGAGTTGAATCTTGTATCTTATTCCAAGAACTTAAGATTGATTGTGACATTTGGATGAAAGGTCAAGGTCATTAAAAACCATCACCTCTTTAACTTCTAACCTGTCAACCGAAATAAACTCTGAAAGGTGTTTCTAGGTACATGTGCATGTACTTCATGTTTCTTTTTACCCTTGGGTCAAGGACAAAGGTTAAGGTCGATTTCAAGTTCATAGGTCAAGGTGATTTTGGTAAATAGTTAATATCAACATTTTATTCAGGTTACCAGTGACCTTGACCTAAGTTTCAAGGTCAAGGGTAAAAAGATCTGCATAATTCAGTATGTTACATGTCTTGACATTTAGAAGTTCTTAATTCTGCATGAACATCAAACACTCAAGTATACTGTCTTTTAATACATTGTGTGCGGTCGCATGTGCATGCACGTCCATGTATTTACTTTTGATAGTAGTATAATGTAGGCAATCATTATATCTATTCATATTTGAAATTTCACCCTGTATTATTGAGAACCAAGAAAGTTGTAGGCATGTGAAGTTCTAGCCAATCAGATTGCAGCACACGTGCATGTGCGTGCGTTCATGATTATTCTTATATATCATGCTGTAGATCTTCATAATGTAAGACAATGTTCAAAATTTCAAAGGATTTTGTCAGAAAACAAAATAGATATTTAGACTTTAAGTTTCAGCCAACCGCAGCGAAGGGCACCTGCATGCGCGTGAGATCTTGCTATTTTGACCATGTCATCATGTCTATACTACTATTATCTCCTTATATTATGAGTTTCAAAGCATTTCATCCAATATTTAAAAAGTTACGGCTAAATCTATTATATTGGTCATTTCACGTGTTACACGTGCGCGCACCTGCACGCACGTGCGCGCAAAATGACCTTCGTTCCGCACATCTACATAACATACCTAGTGACCCTAAAAAGGTTTCACCTAGATCGGATGAGTAGTTTACAAGAACACTCGCGGACAAAAAAGTACCGGAGAACAAAGAAAAAATTCAGAAAAAGTAAAAACAACTAGAGCAAAGCTCGTTGCAAAGCAACGAGTAGGTCTTCCTTCCGGTTTTGACCGGAAGTGCCGGAAGTGACTTCAACACCAGAAAGCAATGAGATAACTCGTCTACAGTGACTTTATAATTTCAATTTTGCATCAAAACCTTCAAAATAAGCTATTTTTGGCTACTTCCGGTTTGACCGGAAGTGACGTCGACGGGCGGAAAATTAATTTTTATGCTCCTAGATACATATTTTATCCAAAATCTTGTCAAGAATGGCAAAAATACGCGTTTAAAGACTACTTCCGTTTTAGCCGGAAGTGACGCCGGCAGGCGTATTTTGACGACACCAAAAGATTAATCTTGACATTTTGAACAACTTTGCTTCTTTGACGTATTACAAATTCTCAATACTTTTTGAGATATAAAGGAAACTCGTTCGGCCCCTATAGGCCCCCCATTTTAGGGGCCAGCCCTTTCTTGGAGATACCAGTTGAAAGAACGTGTAATTCTACACTTCTTTTGTTCTACATGTCTTAACAAAATATTTCTAGGTAAAAAGTTATCGTAGAAAAGGTGTTAAAAATTTTGAAATTCTTGATAGGTCTATTTTCGGGCCATAGCGAGCGTCGGCGCCTCGTACTTCCGGTAGTTGTGATATACAAAAGGCACTTCTCCAAAGGTTGCTCTAGCATCCCTGAAAATTTCACACTTCTATCTTCAATGGTTTTTGAGAACATTGCCGGACAAAGT